TATTTATTCAAAAAAAAAAACACAAAAATCTGAAAAATGGAGAGAGCAGCACACCAACTAAATTGAAGCTAACCACTGAAGCAATATTATTTATAATAATTTTTTTATTGCTTTGATCAATGTTGGAATATTTATTAAAAACAAAAACAATTTTACCAATTCTTGCACCGGTGTCTGTTCCTACAGGTGAACACCTTCCAGATTTCTTCAAAATACTAAATATCAAACACAACAATAACGTATATAAGTTTTTACAAAATATTTTTTTGTATATATATTTAAAAAACATCATAGTATTAGAAATGTTATTTATGATCAACATTTTTGACAATGACTTTGCACCTCTATTCTCTTCAAAAATGTTTGCCAGGTTGGTGTTGAAATTGAAATTAAACCTTTTTCAGTCGTATGGCATCACAGCGATGCCCTCTTTAACCATATTTTATAGTGAGGGTAGTGACGTACGCCCTGTATAAATTTCCTGATTTGTTTTGTAGCTATGCTGCCCTCTATATAATCGTTTGAGATTGACGTAAGAGTATTTCTGAAGTCTTTCCCAATATTCAGACAAATAAAATGGCTGCGCCCAGTAAAAACCCAACATTTAGATGATGTATTTCTCGGTTTCGGGTACAGCCCAGGCAATGGTAATGGGACAGACTGGAAAGTTTCTGTGGCGGGCTAAAGATTGATTACTGTTGTATATAAGCTGACCCAAAATTCCAGGTTTAAAACCATATGCTTAATTTAAAGTTTAATATACACCAGTATTTGCAGTAAAAGACTAATTCTCTACAAACATTCCACTAAGAATTGAAGATTGTAAAGAGAAACTTACCTGATTTGAGGCTCTGGTCGATCCCTGCCATCACTTCTTCCTTTTGACTGGCAAGTGCTGAAGTTCAATGGTGGTGTGACATTTGACATAAGTTGTCCTCCAACATTTTTAAGAACAGCCCCTTGGTCTTGCTGACCGATAAGTAAACCTGATTCAGAAAGCGATGCTCCAACATTAAAGGCTTCAAGGGTTGATTTTGAGAGACTCTGCTCATGAGGGAAACACTCTGGATTAACATACTTGCAGACATCAGTTTCAACCATCACCAGTGGTTCTGTCTGTTGACGATTTGTATCTTTTGGAGGATGAAGTTGATTAGACCCATCACCATGTCCAAACAGTGGACCTAAAACATCTGATGTTTTAGGATGGTAAGGTTGATGCTGAGGGTGCATGCCGTGTACCACTGGTTGAACTTGTGGATGGTAATACTGCATGTCACAATGGCCATCACCTCCACTTCTTGGGTGAGGCCACAGATTATCATCATGTATTCTCCTATCAATCCCTTCAGGTATTTTAGGGTACACAATACGGTTTAATCTTTGCTTGCTTTTCAGTACGTCAGCAAATGTAGGTGGCTCCACTGGTAAAAAATGTCTGTCATGTGCGTGTGGTGCTACAAATGGGTGTCCTGTCGGCCTTTCTATACCATGATGTTCTGGAGGGGAGTTTCTTGGAACAAAAATATGTGCATTAGGGTTCATGTTGACAATTTCATCAGCAGGTTCCTCTTTCTGCGGCCAAACAGAATGTTGTGGTGGTGAGGTCCACTTGTCAATCTCAACACTTCTGGGTTGTTCAGATATCTTTGGTTTCTTCACAATAGATTTACCATTTTTGTCTTCATTTTTATGAATATCTTCAAGACTTTTCTTCTTTTTCTCATTCTGTTTCTTTGCCTTATCAGATTTCTTAGCTTTTTCTTTGGGTTTTTCAATCTCATTCAGGATTCCTTCAAGGAATGGTTGTGGAGAGGCTCTTTGTGAACCCTTTGTTTGCTCTTCAGTGTTATCTTGCATTGTCTGCTTGGAGTGCGGATGTTTTTTGTCAGTGTTTTCTAGCATCACCTGCTTTATATCTGTATTTTTTTCAATGGGTTCTGGTGCAGTCTGCTTACTACGTTCATCTATTGTTTGTTGTGCAAATCGAAAATCTCTGCAAATTATTGGATCCTATTGATGAATGAAAATAAATTAAGCAACAGTATTATATATTTTGTGATCAAGGACAGAGATAGAATTCTGCTGTGTCCCTGCACACATGATTTAAATAACGATTATCTTTGTCAGCTCCATAAACAGTATATTCATTTTCATAGCAGACTAGAAAGAAGTTGTTGGGGGCACAATTATGAATTTATCACATATTTAGAACATTGATTACCATATGAGAGACTATAATTCAACAATACTTGCAGATATACATTTCTATTGAAGTACACTACATTTTCTGATCAATGATAATCAAAATTCCTGATTACAAGTGAGCTGTGAGGTAACTTAAAATAGATGTATCTTAAAAAATTTAATTTACCTTTTTCTTGTTTTTCAGCTCAATGACTGTAATAGAAAATAAAAATGTCAAAAAATATGGATGCTAAGGTAACCCAGAACTTCATATAAATATGTTATGAATGAACAATATTAGTTATAACAATTATTTTAATAATAAAGTAATAATTGTCCTTATAATAATTACAATATCAATAACAGTTATAATAACAATATTTAATACAAATCAATACATCATCATCTTCATTCTTTTTGAAAGTCAATTTGACACCTGATTTGTAAATAATAGCTGAATATTAAATAGTTGACATATGAATTGCAAATAATAATCATGTTCTGATTTGTACCTTAGACGGTTGTCTTTTGTGATTTTGTGGGGTTTATACAAAATAAACATATGGCTCCAACTCAAGCTTTTCGAAAAATAGTTGATCAAATAAATCACAACTACACAGGTAAACATTTGGAACTGAAAACTAAAGAATGAAATTATGATGTAATATTTTAAACATCAAATAAAATAAGTCAGTCTCAATAATATGTAAACTACAGATTCCTGACCTTTTTTGTTCAATTGCTCCTTGATATCAACACCAGGATCCTCCCTTAAGCTCACATCCACTAGCATTGTGGGAATTTCACCTTCCTTGTGGATCACCTTAATGACAGTAGAATCAAGTGTCTTGTCCTTAGTGATGCCACTGAAATGCCAGCGCACATCATATGGGAGATCCTCCTCCAACTCCTCAAACAGACAGCACTTTACAGCCTACAAATTAGATGCACTTCATTTAGGAATACTGTACTTGTGCCTTTGATCATTCAATTTGGAATTGGCGCCTTATAAATGTTTGAGTATTATTATTTTATGAAAATTCAATTTTTATGAAAACAAAAAAAAAATGTTTTCTTTATTGTACATAATGTGCAATAAGACATTTATTTATATATTTGGTGAAAATATACAGTTACATTAGTGATACAATAATACAGATGATAATAAGAGATCAACAATAATTTTGACCAATACACATACAACTGTTAGTGAAAAATGCATGTAGAAAAATGTTAATTTCACCTACATATGCAGGTGGAAAATGATCACTGACTTGTTGTATTCTAATACTTAACCTGTATTGGGATGGTCCAAAACTCTTGCTTTAACTCTTTAATGTTGCCAAATGGTACCTCACTGTTGTGTGCATAATCTAACCAACGTACTACCGCAGTTTTCTAAGATAAAGTAATCAAAGGTCTTGTAAAGCAGCACAACAGATGATGCATTAGTGATGAAGGTGTTGATCATAAATTTCTACCATTCATAAAAATAATAATAATATAGTACTACAGTACATTTCAACATGCCAAGAAGTTGTGGAATGAACCTTAACTATGTTTAACCAAAAAAGTTAAATTGTTAAATAGTTACAGCTCATTCCTCACCTTCTTGGCGTGCATTTTTCTTTCCCTTATACAAATAATTGGCTGTGTGCAATGTAAGAACTGATGATGGTAGTAGCACTGCCGAAACATGTTTTGTTGGGGTCATTAAAGCCCACATTATACGTAATTAAATATGGGCTTTGCCTATGATGAAGATACAAACTGTTGTGTTGTTAAAATTATTAGCTGTCTGCTGTTAAATTTCCTTTAGTACTGTATATAAAATATAATCAATAAAAAGACTTAAAGACATAATATTAAAAATGTTTTTAAAAATGAATAAAATAATAATGGATTAGCATGAACAATATGTAACCATTGGGTATTAAATGAATTAGTTCCTTTTTAAACTTTCTGTATTAAATTGCATTACAATAATTCTTTCCATGCGAGCTTAATGTACCAAAATTGGAGAATGTTCTATTCCCAAGTACTTACTCAATGTGTGGCATCAAGTTTTATTTTTACCACCCATGATTGAAGCGTTACCTTATCTAGTTTTACTTTCTCCACTCTAGCGCGATACCATCGGTTGTCCTCATAACGTGCACAGCACCAGCTCCCCTCTTGTACATTAAATACATTAGTGGCAGCATTTAACAACAGATGTTCTCTAAATCAGACACATGGTTAATATAAAACAATTAAAATACTATCAATAAAATAATCAATAATGTTTTGTATTAAAATACAGCTTGCCATATACAGAGAGTTTCATAAAATTATCAAACACACACATAAATATCATCATCATAAATAATAGCATAATCACTTTAGTACAAAATTTTTTTTATTTAATTTATAATCATTATCTGTAATTCTTTTGTGTACCTTATCTTTCTAGCCAATTCATTCAGTTCCTCAGTCATTTCCATGCTGAAGTCTCTGCTTGCCCAGAAAATGCTCTGCCCATCCATTCGACTTTCAACAAACAATGATAACTTGTGTCCAGGCTGTTCTTGGATATGCTTATCTGCTCCAGAAAGCCCAGCATCACTGGATTCTACCGGTGTTGTTAGTAGCTTAATACTGGCAGCAAAATCAAGAGGCTTGCCCAGCACACAGGTGAGAGGAAGTAGTGTACTTGTATACAACTGTTGGAAGTGCTTAGTGTCAAATGTACGCATCTGTAATAATAATACAACTTTTACCTTCACTATTATTATTAGTATAAAGTTGATTAAAAAATGTACTTATTTTATACGTACTTTATCCTTTTTAAAATATTTTTTCAGAGAATTCTAGGGTGTAAGTTTGTGCTTTGCGAGAAACTTATGTACAAATATTACTTTTTATCTAAAAATTATTTTAAAAAGATTTTAAATGTCTGATTTAAGAAAAAGTTATTTTGTTAGTTTACCCACTTTTTCTTTCCACCCAAGAGCATAAGTGGTTACCTGGTAGGGTTAAATGTCAATGCACGATTTACAGTATGTGCAACACTATGGAATTCCACAGAGTTGTAGAATAAAGTTTGATAATTAAAACCTTTATATAAAGTTATGCAAATAATGTACCTTCTCTTGCATCCTTTTAATTATATCAAGTGATATAGTGCCATCACTATTCAGAGCTGCATTCACTTCACCTTTGATCTATAAACAAAATAAAATATTTTTAGTTTCTCTACAAAGAACTACGAATCCCAACACGATGGCGTGTATTTCAATACTTGGAGTATGTATTATACTGTACTTTCTTATCAGAGATAAATTTGTCTTTGGCAATCAATAACTTCATAAAAATCTTAAAGTACTGTTTGTTTGTAATATTTTTGCACTCCAATACATCAACAAACAATTAATAAAAAAGGAAAAAACAAAATTCAGTAAACAGAATAAAAAGAGAAAGGAATGCAGGGAATAGCTCTATAAGCCCTGAGTCTTGATTCTTTAGGGGTCCCCAACAAAAAAGACAAAACAAGATCATAATACAGTACTACTGTGATGGTGTACAATGCAGTGTAAGAAGTTGTGATTGGGTTAATTCAAGTGTAAGAACTACTGTTATGGTGTGCCATCCAGTAAAAGAAGTTCTGTGATGGTGTACAATCCAAGTGTAAGAACTATTGTGATGGTGTGCCATCCAGTGTAAGAAGTTATGTAATGGTGTGATACCAAGTGTAAGATGCACTGTGACGAGGGATATCGGAATACTGGTTGAGGGATATCGGAATAAGACTTGGTGTTGATGTGATCATCTGAGTTTCTGTCCTGTAATTTGATTTAATGTACTGTCTACTGTTTTGATATATCCATGTTTAAATTTGATTTAATGTTGATGTGATCAATTTAGTTTACATTTCTTTTTACTCGTTTTTACATGTAATCGTGTAATTTCGCTTTTTAATGTACTGTTTTAATGACCCCTACCAGGGCAATGTAAATAATGTGCAATTTAGATTCGTCTACAATACATTATACTGCCTTCTGTTTCCCCGTTATTTATTTATTCACTTACTCATTTATTTTTTATGGTAATTTTGTAGTTTTTATGATATAATCCTAATTTTAACTTTTTTGCTTGAATTTTTTATATTGAATATTATATTGAATAAAATCCATAATGAATGAAAAATCCATGAATGAATGAATGAACTGTGATGATGTGCCATCCAGTGTTAGAAGTTCTGTGATGGTGTGCCAAGTGTAAGAAATACTGTGATGATGTGTCATCCAGTGTAAGATGTACTGTGATGGTGTGCCATCCAGTGTAAGACATATTGTGATGGGTTTACCATCCAGTGTAAGATGTACTGTGATGGTGTGCCATCCAGTGTAAGACATATTGTGATGGGTTTACCATCCAGTGTAAGATGTACTGTGATGGTGTGCCATCCAGTGTAAGATGTACTGTGATGGTGTGCCATCCAGTATAAAACGTATTGTGATGGGTTTACCATCCAGTGTTAGAAGTTCTGTGATGGTGTGCCAAGTGTAAGAAGTTCTGTGATGGTGTGCCATCCAGTGTAAGATGTACTGTGATGGTGTGCCATCCAGTGTAAGATGTACTGTGATGGTGTGCCATCCAGTGTAAGATGTTTTGTGATGGGTTTACCATCCAGTGTTAGAAGTTCTGTGATGGTGTGCCAAGTGTAAGAAATACTGTGATGATGTGTCATCCAGTGTAAGATGTACTGTGATGGTGTGCCATCCAGTGTAAGACGTACTGTGAATGTGTAGAATCCAATGTATGAAATACTGTGATGGTGTGCCATCCAGTGTAAGAATTAATATTTCTAATTAAAAATTGGGTCAAATGCTTATAAAGATTGTAAGTGGTATTTAAATCTACAATGATATTAAAGCCTGTTTCACCAACCTGATCATGTTCTTTGATTGACTCTTGGATAACCTTCTCGCATTCCTCATACTTTATTACTTTCTCTTTAGCAGCCTCTTTCACCTGCTTGGCTAGATCCTCTTCAAATGTTTTAAGGGATTGGTGGACTTCTGTTACAGCTTTGTGGATCTGCAGAATTTTGGCCTCTTCTCTGAGGACAAAAATTCCATTTACAGAATGTTTATAATAAAAAAAAAATAGTATATATAAACTTCACTGTGCTCTAGATAAAAAGTTTGTACAGTTAAAAACAATGCACAAACAGAATAAATTCTTGGAAACAGAAATAGTGTAAACCACGAGAGAGAACACAACTCTATTTCTTTGTCAGTTCATATGTTTTTAGATTTTAGAATAGACAGATTGACTAATAAAGAACCTATAGGACTTATACTAAACTTACATTAAATTTAACTACACTATAGGAAAATATGTATCATATAAAGGAATCCATGGCAAAATATAATGTCCAAAAGCTGTAGGTTGTCATTTTTGCACTCTACCCAACAACTTTATTGGATGGACTAGTGAAAAATACAAAAGCACATGCATTGCTTCTAAACTTTATGCAGACATCAAAAATCAACAATTACAGTACATTATTGCAATGACTTTCATAACTCAAAATTTATGATACATTGAAGAATTGATATGCAAAGAATCTCTCCAGTGGTAGCTACACTCCAGTTTGGGAGGAAAATAAGGATAGAATCATTCTTACTGTTCTTGAAGATCAGTCTTGATAAACTTCATCTCTAAAAGACTGGCTTCCAAGTAATCTTTTTCCCTGAATAAAACAATTTACTCTTTTGAATTAGTAGACAATGAACAAGCATCCATATGGTATGAATGAGGCTTCAATGAGGTTAAAAAATAATCTGCACTTTTTTTAAATTGATCTACAGTCATTTTGTGGTGCTTTTATTCCAAATGAGTGCTCTGGAGGGGGGGGGGGTTTATTCAAAGCAGGGCATTTATTCAAATAAATATAGTATGTTAATTATTAGCTTACAATTGAAAATTCGAATGCGACAAATTTTGTTTATGCCAATCAATGATGTATACAACATTGTTCTTATCATAGACCATTAAAATTAGCTGTGTAATAAATTTATGGATTTTTGTATTAATTCTTTATGGTTTTTTTCCTCATTAATGACAACTGTAAGTTGTAGTACGACCAGCAATGGAACAATGTTTATTCTACCTAGTCTGTAATACTTAAAATATATACTGTACTTTTTAAAATAGATTTGTCAATTATGAATTGGTTTTTAATACTTACAACTTGAAATGCTGTAGTTGATCTGTTAATTGGCATATTGATTGCTGTGAAATAAAAAAATGTTATTTAATCTAAAAACAAGGCATGGATACAATGTAAAAAATTCCCATCATGTTCAAGTTATACAACCTATCATAGACATACTGTAGACATAGACATCACTTTATTTATCCAAAAGTTTGGAAATTACATGCACCCATCTGCCCAGCTAACTGCCTCAATTTTCAGGGTTGTTTGTGAATATTGGTAATGTTATCCATCAAAATAACGATTCACCTTGATAGCTATTGACCTGACACAGTGGTTCTGTAGAAATCCTTGATGTATTAGTTGGTTACATTCCTCACAAAGTGGCAAGAAGGCATCTAAAAGTCAAAAATCAAAAAATAAAAATAATATTAAAGAAAAATAAATAATATTAAATAAGTAATAAAAATTAAAAAAAATAAAAGTAATATTCAATAAAATTAAATAATATTAAATAAGTAATAAAAATCTAAATTAAAAATTAAAAAAAAAGTAATATTATCTTCTAATTACAGTAAATTGTTGCTACATCTATTTAATATTCATTCTTTAACCTGAATTAACTAGTTTAACATTTGAAGATTAAAAAATACTGTATTTATTTGAATGAACACCAGGGCGTTTATTGTTGAAAAGGGTTTTGAGGGGGTATATATTCAAGGGAGGCATTTATTTTTTTGGTGTAAAATGGATACATATATATACTCAAATAACGCCCTTTAATTTCACTGCAAGTGTGGAACTACTGTACAACACATAATTAACTGACAGTAAATGTAATTCTACTGGAATAGAACATTCAACAAATGTGTTGAGAATTAATTTGCTCTCATTCGGCGACTTTTTATTATTTATACCTGGTTTAGCAAACCCGCCCGTCCACCAATAATGACTTCAAATGAAAATTAAATTTCATTTCTGGTCAATTAGTGCACCTGTAAGTTTGCAAAACAAGGGATAAAAAGACTCGCCTTTGTTTTGGTTACAGACATGGGGCAGGGGTGGGATGGCATCTATTCCAAATGAGGCTCTGGAGGAGGCGCTTATTCGAATACGGTATCTGAAGGAAGAAATATTGCACGCCAATGCTCTACTGTATGTAATTGTAATATGACATGTGCACCAATTGGCATTTTGTAAATAGTAGGCCCTGCTGACAGTGACCGTTTTACTGCGCACTAATGTAATGAAATACAGACAATACATCACGGCAACTAAACATGTTTACGTATCATAACAAATAAACTAAATTCATTTATAACAACTTCTATTCTAGAGAGATAAACAGTCATTAGCGGCCTAGGCAGTACACTAGGAAAATGAGTCGCAAACAAGACAGCTAACAGACAGGGCACTCACTGGATCACAAGATCACAGGTGGACATAGTCCGATCCTACGAAAACATAAGGATCAAAACAATAAGAAAAATAAATAGCATTATCAAACCTTTTCCCTGCCCTCCAACACAGTTTAAACAGTCGACAACTGCAGATCGTGTTATGCACCTAGCACAAAGCGTTTCTTCTGTCATTTTTATGATAATATTACGACTTCTAAATCAAACTGAGCGCGAACATTCCTTGACAGAACAACTTGTCAAAAAATGTGCTTTTTGGTGGTGGCCTTTAAAAACGCCCTCAGGTGGTAAGAGCATCTTGTAACTTTTACTTGGCACGCAGTACACAGTTGTACGGAGACCCTAAAGGGACATGGTTAGAAAAAATATTTAATTATTTCGAGGGAACGAAATAATATTTCGTTCCCTCGAAATGATTTCGTTCCCTCGAAATAATATTTCTTTGGAACGAAGTATTATTTCGTTCCCTCGAAATAATTAAATATTTTTTCTAACCATGTCAATTTAGGGGCTCCGTACAGTTGTTATCTTCGCGATTTTTAATAAAAAGAATGAAATATTGAATCAATAGGCCTATCCCTAATTCTATAGTGTACACCAGGAGTGACCATGTTTCATGATATTCAATTCTTGTCGCGATGGTCATTTCAAGAGTTGAGTTTATAATGGAAACGGATTCAATGTTACACAGTTGTCTTGGACATTTTCGCTGTCACTTGTAAAAATTACAGTAAAAGTAAACTTGATATATTCAAGATAAAATTGTGATTCCCGACTTGCGTTCAATTGTGCAGTGAGTAAATATATATACATAATAACAGAGTTCTATAGTAGTTAGTTAAAAACGATGAACCTTGTCATGCAACATTTTTTTTAACGAAAATCATATAGGGCCTATATCTTGGTATCTTTATTTCAAAATTATTATTATTATCATTGCATTTTTTTTAAAGTGACATTAAAAAAGGCAAGCATTATCGGAACTATTTACTTGGAAGCGTAACTTGATGGTTTAAATCACTGCCAGAAGGGAAGTATGTCTTCTTCGGACTGGCATGGAGCGGATCCAGAGATGTCCGAAAGGGGGACCGAAAGTGGGGCCGATCGAGAACACCACCCATGGGTTTAATAAACTCAGAGGCGTTTTGTGAGATCATTTTTTGTTTTTCTTTCTTTCTTCTTTCTTTCTTTTTGTTTTTTTTTTACTTTCCAAAAGAGGAGGAGGGGCGGGCCCTCTAAATCCACCCTGCTTGGTTCACCTTCGTGTTTACACAGAATAAATTAAATCCAATCCCATTTTAGGCCTACATGATAGCCTATTCAAACATGGTACGGCACCTGCCTTGAACAGAAACAAATGGAAACAAATTATTGTGAAAAGCGTAATGCCGAAAGACGGAACACGTTAGAAGAAGATACATCCAAACGTCAGATTGGGTATTTGGCCTACAAGTTTCAAAACATTTAAGGCTCCTTTGTTCTCTATGATTAACTTCTCCGTCTAGCAAAACTACATTTCACATTGTATGCACAATTGTCACGTTTTAGTTTACTAAATTAAGAGATCTCGAAATTTCACTGGATGATCAGATATTTGAACATGGGGGTATAAAAATTGTATTTATATTTATATTTGCTAGTGGAAGTTGAATGAAATAAAATAAAGTGTGAGAATTCAATTTCATTCTGTCTGAAGATTAGATTAAATCATATTAACTCGTGCCAGGTATCACTGTCCGGCGGGCATCAGCCATAGGCCTACCTCTATGATTTGACCATGTCAGGATCAGGCAACATTATGTGAATAACGAAAAATTATTTGTTCAAGGGGAAAAATTTTCGAGAGTTTGAACGTGTCCTTTTCCTTCCAAAAAATTAATGCATGTTTATGTACATTGTAGGCCTACATTTTGCATTCCTTTTCTATATTTTGAGGCACAAGGGTGTATATTAAAGAGGGAACTTTTTGGGTAATTCCTTTACACGACAGACGTGCACACAACACCTTCAATCAAAAATGAAGTATCATCCTGAGGGTTAGGAATTGCAGTTTATGTAGAGGTTGTGAGAAGATTTATAATCCAACGATTGGAAGTCATCACATCCACCAGAAGCCTCAATTGTATATCATACAAAATACAGCAAATGACAGTTACACATGGCCAGCGGAACCGGGGGGCCGGGGGCCCGCCCCGGTATAAGAGACAGGTCTTGAGATTTTTGTGTGACCGGAAAAAAATTCTAGACCTACCTTTTCAGGACCCGTGAGCTGATTTTTTTTTTTTTTTTTTATGTTATAATCAGAAAATTAGAATTTTGAAGAACATAAAAGTCATTAAAACACACTTCAAATGTCGGGTAAGCTCATTCCCGCTTTCTACGAATTAAAATTTTTGGGATTTATCGATTCATGGAAAAAAAGAATACGCATGCAACTACTCATTTA